ACAAAGCAATTTCTCTCTCCTCCCCACCCCCGTCCGGTATAGCCTCAGGCCAGTCTGGGCTCCCTCTGCTCCCCTGTCTACTGGGGGTAGGGGTTGGGAAGGCCAGGGAGGGAGAGGTGGGGGCACCACAGCCTCAGTCAGTAGAGAATGTTACATGCATGCCCGCACACAAGAAACATCCACAGTGGAACCAGGCAAGAGAACTGTTAAAAAAAAAAAGAAAGAAAGAAAGAAAAAGTTCTGCTTCATCAGCTAAAAAATAGTCATGTTCTCTCCTGGTTTGATGTCAGCTCAAGTGCTGGCTTGGAAATGCCCGCAGCATACTGGGCCCCTCCCCACACAGCAGGCAGACAGCTCTCCCTGCCAGCAACTGGCTTTTAATAAAACAGGATGCTGTCCCACTACTAAGGCCCCTGAGGACTCTCCTGAGAGTAGTTCCTATCTACATGACTCCCTCCCCTAAGGCAGCCCTGCATAGGCCTTTCTGGCCCAAGGCTTGCTGAGTGAGTGTTTGCAGGTGCCACCTGTCCCTGGGGGAGCTCTCTGTTTCTGCCGGGTTCTCACCATGTATGAGCACTAGCATGCATTCTGGCTTTTATGAAGGCCCGGACCTTGACAGTCAAATAGGATGGATTTTGAAACAAGGAGCTGGCTTTCACAGGAAGGATGAAGATGTTTGGTTCCCATCGTCCCACAGTGGGCTCCGAGGAGTCATGCCAGGTCTGGATTTGGACTCCCCATTTCAAGTGTGATGAGTTTAGCTTTTGGGGACGTCTCCCCCAGCTTTGTCTTCTCCCTGGTTGGAATGGGGTGAAGTGTACTACATGTGGGAAGCAGTTTCTGAAGTTTTCCACTGCAGTCATAAAAAGTCCCAACTACTGGGTGAGCTTCCAGGGTGACCTCTAAACCCACAGCTCCAGGCCTGCCCTGCCCAGGACACCTCCTGACCCCATGGCAGCCCTGATTGTGAAAGCCCTCCCCATAAGGGTTGCCCCCATTCTCAGGCAGCAGCGGGCTCCTTTTCAGGCCATGCTGTAATGCACTCAGGTGGGCAAGCACAGAATGAGCATCAGGGGTTGGAGGTATGCCTGCCATCAGCAAGTGGACTTTGATGAACTCCAGCGTGAGACAGAAGTCATCGTGCTTGACAGGAAAGGCCTGACAACCCAGAGTTTATCCCCAGATCTGCCCTGGCTTCCTGAATAGCTTTCAACAACTTGATATGCATGTGACTCAGTTTCTTCACTTGTGAAATGCAGAGCAGGCACACTGACACTGCCTTACCACATCCCTGCAGACATTGCTAATCACTCACAGCCCCTCTCAGCCACAACCAATCGATCAGAGATAGCTCTGAGTAAAGACCTGTGATGGTTTCCAGGTTTTCTTCCAGGCGTGATAGTCTATGAGTTGGAATCCAATATATTTCAATTCACTTTGAAGTTCTGGGGAGGAAATAGAAGGAACTGGTGCTACAGATGGGGTATTAATTCCTTCTCTCACTTCAGCACATGACATTGGAAGAGAAAGGAAGAGAGAGGAAATCTGCAGAGGGAACATCTGGGCACAGGGTTGGTGTCAGCATGGAGAGCTGTGTCTCATGGCCTACTGTGCAGATCTGCCCCAGAATAGTAGGGTCCTGGCAGGAAGTAGGATAAACCTGAGAAGAACATGCTGCAGGAGGCTGGGCAGGCTGAGCAGAAAGGGCTGAAATGGAAAGTACAGAGGGAGAAAGCAAGCAAGCCCAAATAAATCTATAAAATCAGGAAAGATGTCGCACAGCCGAGGACTGTCATAGGGCCCTGGACAGCAAAAGGAAGGACTCCAGCTGACTCAAGCAGCAGCGGGTGTGTTGGAAGCTACAGAGGCGGAGGTGCTCTCGCAGTCATCAGGAGAGCTACAGGAGGCAGACTGCCCAGCATGGGACTAGGGACTGTTGGTGCCTATGTGGCAGATGAAAGGGCTGCCTGGCTGCTTTCAGGCTGGGACTCAGCTTAGCTGGGGACTGCCCTGAGTAGGGGAGGGGCTGTGGACTCTAGGCTACTAAAAATGGTACCCAGCACCCAATGTGACAGAAGTGTCACCCCACAACCACAGTGAGAGGCCAGACCTGTACTAGGACAGGACACATGTCCATCTCAGAGAAAGAAAAGCAAACATCAAATCCAGTCCAGCAAGCCTGCTGGGCAGAGGGGAGGGGTGATGCCAAGGTCACTCACCAGGTGTGGAAAGCCCATCTGGGAGGCATGGTGGGGTCTCAGGGTAAAGACACAGATAGAAAACTACCAGCCGTCAAGACCATGCTGAGTGGAGCACAGGGAGGTATCTAAGGATGTCAGACAAGAGTCAAGGCCAGGAACATCTGGACCTGTAGGCAGGCTCGGAATCGTCCATCTCCAAGCTGGTGGCATCTGTCTTGCTGGAAAGAGCTGCATTTAAGGGTCCAGCTGTGCCCTTTGTGGCAGAGTGGAGGAGGTGCCCAGGAGGGTCAGCGACATCACTGTCAGAAAAGCTCACTAGTTCTCCTCTTGGGGAAAGAAAATCTCCCAAAGTTAGAATGGGGCTCCCCTTGTCTGGGCCTGGCGCCCGTTCTCAGGGATTGTAGCCAATCCATGCTCCGTGCTTCTGTGGGCTGGGGGCGGAGAGGCCAGACCAGGTGCTGCCACCGCCATCTTGCTTCCATGTGAAGCAGCCATGAAGTCTCCAGATGGAGACCTGAGTCTTGGTGACATTAACAGAGCTCTGAAGCTGGCTGTGTCTGGAAGGTTGGCCTTTGGGCTTTGCTTGGTGGCCAGCCTCTGGGGAAAATTCTCTGAGTCACTCGACTCTCTTCTGGTGTTTAAGCCAGTTTGAGTTGGGTTTCTATAACTTGTAACCACAAAGGGTTCCAATAAGTAGATAATAATACTAGTATTAATCACAGCTATGCAGTATTTCCTCGATAACAACTCCAGGAGATAAACACTGTTACAATGCTCAGTTACCAGAAGAAACTGAGGCGAAAGGCTGGACATGATCGCCTGATGTTAACCTGAAGGACTGGGGTTCAAGTGAGAAAAGTGATGGCAGGAACCCCAAACTTGGCTTATATAATAGTGACTAAGCCCAAAGAGGGACAAAAGGAGGAAATAGCTAGAACAAAACCAATGTGGCCACAAAGGGGAGTCACTGGTGATCCCAGGTCTTTACAAAGGCCTGCCCAACAATAATCATGACACACTGATAAGATGAAATATTACAGATGGCAGAAGACTATTTCCTAATGAAACTGCTATAGATATTATATTGTAATATATCGATCCCAATATTGTAAAGAAAAATACACACATACTTTTTTTATATACAGAAAAAGACTAAAATTTTGTGTGTTTTTTCTAGTGGTTCTCTCTAGATAAGCTTACAGGTGACTTGTTAATAGAAAAACAAAAACTATAAGGACCCCCCCCCCCCAAATGTGGAAACTGGTACTGAGATTCAACAAAGTCAAACAGAGCAAAATACCCTGTATTGTGTCCTGAGAGTGTCAACTGGCACATGAAATTGCTGGAAACATCAAATGACTTGAAACAGTTGGAGAAGATGGTTATGTGTGTCCTGGAGGAGATATGGTTTTGTGGGGGCCATGACATCTGTCTGCACATATTTTCTGGCTGTCACAGTAGGGCGTGTCCTATTTTTTGCCTCTGGAATAGCAGATCGCCTGCCTCACAGTGATGGCCCCTTCTAGGGAAGAAGATTAGGACTCTGAATCCTCAGGAGCGTGGGACCCTCACAGCTGCTGGCGTGCGCCTGGGCCCAGGAGATGGGCATGTACCCCCTCTTCTGGGGGTTCATGGAGAGGTCTCATATTTCATAACTTCTTTCTTTTTTTCTCTTTAAGATGGAAACCTGTAAAATGATTAATCCTGGGACAAAGTCAGTGTAACCGTTAACAGACTCAGGGTTTACAAGGAGGGTTCACATGGTCCTCAGGAATAGTCTACCTTTCATACAAAATGAACACTGGGTTTCCTTCCAAGCCCTTGCACCCTGTAGCCCTGTGATCCCTTGGAATAGGGACAAAATTTGTCTGGGGCTCACTTCATCAGAACTCAGTAAAATTTAAATAATTTCACAGTGGACTAGCTCTGTGACAGCTGGGTTCAGGAGAAAGTAACCCAGTGACAGACCACATCTGACCCAGGAGAGCAGGGTAGGTTTCCAGTAGTAGCTGATTCACTGTCAGTGGGAAGTATTGGAGGAGGGCACACGTGGACGTCTGTCACTTGAGCTGCTGAAGGGACAGGCTGTGAGCTGAGACGCTTTCAGCCATCTCACAGCCACCTCTAAGGCAGAGTTCCCCAAGGACCACCGAAAGAGGCAAGACAGAATGGTGGGGTGACTGAGACCTAGCCCTACAGACATCATTGGGTCGGCCAGCCTGGGACTGTTCAGGTGTCTCTCAGCCACTTCAAGTTAGCTGCTTCCCCAAATATCTGGACTTTTTATTCAGCATCAAGGATTTGTTCAGCTGCATGACCGTTCACCTTCACACCTGCACACCTGCACAGGAAGGGGCGGGGTGATAGCAGAAGGTTGAAGATGGAATGGAAGTTAGCAGACAGGAATGTTGTGTTTCTATAGTGAGGGACATTTCCTCTGTATTTTAAACCAGAGATAACAAGGAAGGTCTTTGGGACGTCTCCTGGTCTGAGCCCCCGACTAGTGCCTTATGCGCTGCTCATTTTTAAAAAAACACTTCTCCTTAGACTGGAGAACCCAGACCGGCCCCGTGCCCACCAGGCTGGGGAGAACATCCAGGTGGCGCTTCACATCAGTGGGGAGAGAGGGTCCTTCAGGAAACAGTCCTGGAGGACAGGCAAAGCAGCCATCTGAAAACACAAGGCAGCTCCATACTTTAATTTATATCCTAACAAAATCTTCATAGACCAAATATCTAAGTGTAGAAAATAAATCCATCACAGTACTAACAGAAGATAATCATTACTTTTTCACTGCAGAGGGAGGAATGAATGTCTTTAGTAGCATGAACACAGAAGACAAAACTAAAAGGGAAAACAGCTGTTGAAAATGACTGCCTAACAACCAAGTCTTCTCTGTACGGCCAAACCTGCTGCAAGCAAACTCAAGATGCAAAGTCAAACTGAGCAAAACTGTTTTAATGTCACAGACAAAGTGCAAATATCCCTAATACATACAGATCCCTAGAAATCAATACGAGACCGGCAATCAGATAGGAACTGGGGAAGGATGAACCGAGGAGACATCGGACCGGGAGTACGAATGGTGCTTAGGCACTTGGAGTACCGCTCCACACCATTGGTGACAAGACAAAGGCAGTGCACATTTATACCAACAGCCATTTTTCATCTTTCGACCAGTCTCCTTGTGGTCACCTGCAATGTTCACAGAGATGTTTGAATGGGCACTCTTATTCATGCCAGGTGTTTGCAGAGTAGTTCAGTTGGGCAACATTTATCAAAACAGCAGACATACTGTCCATTTACCTGGGGACTCTGCCTCTGAGAACTCATCACACAGGTGTGAGCGGTGGGACATAGAGGGATATTTACGCAGCATCACTAGTATTTTCCAAAGACGGAATGCTGTGCAAATGTCTAAGGTTCTGCAGCTGGTTAAATGGCATGCAGTGCAGCCCACTACCCTTTATGTGACAGAAGGTAGTCCTCTTGGCACTCAAGGGCCACCTGACTGTGCTGGAGGCTTTCCTGGCCCCCCTGGAAGGGTCTGGTCTCTGCTAGGCCTCCCAGAGGCCCCACAGAGGCTGGCTATCAGCTGGGTCCACGCAGAGGGCTGGCCTGACCTGTGGAAAGGAAAGGAACACAGACTGGTCACATAAACGCTGGCAGGGACTGTGTTTAAGTGAGTGACAGAGTGCTGGGTGCGAGGCCCAGAGCAACCCCTCTGTGGACAAGCCTAGCTGTGTATATGTGCAAGGCTCCTCTGTGGATGAGCTTAGCTGTGTATGTGTGCAAGGCTGAGTGTGTTTGCTGTGTGTATACACACGTGCTACGGTTGTGTATGTGTGAGTGTGCACACTCTGTGAGGGTGCATGTGTGCTGTGTGTGTGCATGGCTGGGTGTGTTTGCTGTGTGAGTATACACGCATGCTATCATTATACATGTGTGAGGTGTACATGCTCTGTGAGTGTGTATGTGTGCTGTGGTTGTGCATGGCTGAGTGTGTTTGTTGTGTGAGTGTGCACACGTGCTATGGTTGTGCAGCTGTGAGTATGCATGTGTGCTATGGTTGTGCATGGCTGAGTGTGTTTGTTGTGTGAGTGTGCACACGTGCTATGGTTGTGCAGCTGTGAGTATGCATGTGTGCTATGGTTGTGCATGGCTGAGTGTGTTTGTTGTGTGAGTGTGCACATGTGCTCTGGTTTGCAGCTGTGAGTGTGCATGTGTGCATACCATGTACACATGAACACCAGGCATATGCAGGCACCCCACAGCTACCCACATCTGCTCTCTGGTCTGACAAGAATCCCCTTCCCGACTCTCCGGCTTGTTGGACTTTTTACACCAGGAAAGACCCAGGGGAACTGGCCTCTGCCATTGCAGATCAAAGCAGCTAGTGCCCCAAGTGGCAAACAGGGCTGACTCCTTGGGCACACGCTGACCTGACCTTGGGTAAAAACAGAACTGCTTCCTGCGCCTTTGATGTTGGCCCCTGAGGGGCCCACCTGGGCATTTGCTCTGTGCCCACTTCCTTAGGACTGAGGAAGGGTTCTGTAAGTGCACACTGAGCAGGAAGCATAGCTGCGGCTTTTCTGGTTGAGGGCAAGACAAGCGGACTTTCTGAAAGGAAGGAGCTGGGGGAGGGAGGGCATTCAAGTATTCCTCTGAGGGGAAGAGAGTTTGGAAGCAGAAGCCAGAGTTTGTTAAATGGGACATGGATGGCGCACATAAGAGACTTCATGAAAAGTCAAAATATTGCCACAGTCATAGCAGCAACCTATGCAGGTGGTGGAACAGCATTAGGAAGGGGTCAGCGGGCCACGGTGGGCAATGCATATGAAGGCAAATGTGTGCGTGTGTGTGTGTGTGTGTGTGAAAGGAAACTGGAAGGAGCCCTGAGTTCTGTGAGGAAAGTAAAAATACTGAGCACAGGCACAAGCAATTGTCTTTCTCCTGGAGACTAAAATTCATGGGCTGGTAACCAACAGCCATATTAGGATAAGAAATATAACCTGTTTATGATAAGTTTGCAAAATTCACCTCACTGGTGCACTGAGTGTGCGGTGCACTTGACCCCCCATGCCCGTGGCCTGGTGTCCATGGCCAGCTCCCCGCAGCTAACGGGCTGGAACTGGGAAAGCCCATCCGGCCCCTCTCTCCAACCTCTACTCCCCTCTGGGTGGATACACACATTCTGAGAGTCAGCGGAGGCCGAAGGCCGCTGCTCCCTCCCAAGATGGAGCTACCGCTACCACCAAAGCAGACTTGGAGTGACCCCTCCAGGTGGGAAGGCCCCGAGGTCGCTCCATCCTCCTCTGAGGAAGCCCAGATCCTGGGCTCTGCTAGGTCTCCCCTCTCCAGATAGACTGAGTGGCCTGCCCTGACCACATGTTGTGCCAGCACTCATGTCAAGCTTCTAGGACTGCAGTGCCTGCCACCTTTCCAGCAATGGCATATGACAACAATGGCTGGCCCGCACAGGGCAGCCACTGAGCTGGCACTCTCTGAGCACCTCACACGCATGACCTCACTGTAGCCACCGCAAGCTTCCAGGCGGCCACCACTATGATCCGTTGCACAGATGTGGATAGGAAGCTTCAACGCTTAAGCAGCTTGCCCAGACTACTGCCATTGGTGGGGTTCATGGAGAGTCTCAGTTTGAACCCAGGTTTTTCCAGTTCCAGAATCCCAGCTCCTTCCCATCAGCAATGCCATCCACCCCCTTCCATGGAGACACCCGGGGAGGCTTCTGCCACCTCACCCCTCTCCTGGAAATATCCTCTAGCTTTTTGTCTAGACCACGCCTTTTGACCTCTACAAACTCAGGTCCCCAAAGGGTACCATTCCCTCTATTTAGAATCAAGTAAACAATAAACCATGACAGCTAAAAGCAAGGGAGTCGGGGCCAGCCACAACTCCTGGAATCCTGCTTCAGCCTCGCACTAGTCCTGGGCACTGTGCCCTGCCGACCCCCAGGGCAGTGCGATAAAACACAAACAGCCCCCAGTGTGCCCATGTGAGCCGCTCTGCTGATGGCGTGGTGGTGGGGGGAAATATGATAGAGTGAGGAGGACATGTGCTGGGCGTCCCTCCACTAAGCTTCACTCCTTCCTCATCTTCTGACTTCTCCCCCGAGGGCGGGGTGTCTGAGAAGGCCCAGCAGGGAATGGATGCTTCTGTCTGTGCCCGCCTGTTTTAACAGGCTCATTAATGGTGTCAGAGGAGACTATGTGGGGACCTGGACTTCCGCCTCTGCCTCAATCCCACGGTAACAGGGCTCCCTCCCCTTCCCCACCAGGTTGATTGGGGCAATAGCAGCGAGGCACTCTGAACCCTACCCAGCGGGAAGACAAAGACCCCTTCTTACTTTTTACCTCTGTGTTAACAGAGGGGGTACCTTGACTTCCACCCTCCACCCCTCACCCCACCTGCCCTCTGGAGCAGTGTCAGGAAAAGCCATCCGCAGTCTCATAATACAATACCGAAAACGTCCAGGTTTCCATAGAAAATCCTCATCATACCAAGAACCAGGTTGATCTCATACTGAGTGAAAACAACCATCTAATCAATCTAATCAACGCCAACACCAAGAAAACAGATGTTAGAATTATCTGACAAATATATTCAAGCAGCCAGCATACTAATGCTTCAAAGAGCAATGTGAAATACTCTCGAAAAAATAAAATAGGAAGTCCCAGGCAAGAAAGATAAACTATAAAGAAGAACCACATGGAAATTTTAGAACTGAAAAATACAGTACCCTAAGCACAACTACCCACCACTATGGAAACACTGAGAGCAGAACTAGAGGGGACACAGTGAACGGGAAGATAGGACAATATTAAATATACAATCGGCATGACAAAGAGAAGAAAATGGGCTGGGAAAAATAGACACAGAGCCGCAGGGACCTGTGGGGGGTAACAAAAGATGTAACTTCTGCCACATTGGAGTTCTTAGGGAGAGGAGAAGAGGACAGAAGTGAAAAAGTACTCAATTAAATAATGACTTAAAACTTCTCCAATTTGGCCAAAAAACATAAACCTACAGATTTAAGAAGCTAAGCAAACCTCAAACAGAATAAACCCAAAGAAATGCATATTAAGACAGAGCATACTCTAAGTTCTGAAAAACAAAAAGGAAAAAATATATATTGAAAACAGAGAGAAGTGACACTTTACCTATAGGGGAAAAAAAGTTTGAGTGACAGCAAGTTTTCATCAGAAATCGTGGAGGCCAGAATGCTTTTAAGTGCTGAAAGACAAATCAAGACATTCTCAGAAAAAGAAAAATTCAGAATAGTTGTCACCAGCACACATGCTATACTGGTGGTGCCAAAAAAATGGAAACAAGTGGACACTTTGGTCAACGTTACTCAAGCAGTAGTTCACTGTAGTCAGAAGTGTCTGGATGCTGATGGTAACCACTTTAAGCACTCTTGTAATTGCGGAAGTCAAACGTGACTTGTATTCACCTTTTGTTATTGGTATATATTGAGTATTACAATTTTAATAAGTTTTTCCTTTCTTAAAATGTATATACAGTTTTTTGGCACCCTCTGTATAAAAGTGGTTAAAAGAAGTTTTCTAAACAGAAAGAAAACAATGAAAGAAAGATTACTGGAAAATCAGTAAGAAATAAAGAAAATAAGCACAAATATTAGACAATAGACTCTCCTTTTCCACTTGAGATTTCTAAATTATGTTGATGGCTGAGGCAAAAACTATACCACTGTCTAATGTGATTCTAAATGTATGCAGAAGAAATATTTAAGATAATTATATTATAAACAGAGAGGGTAAAGGGACATAAAGAGAGATAAGCGGTCCACACTTCATTCAAACTTGTGAAATGATGGAACTAGTAAACTGTGGTTAAGTTTCAATAGATACAGAAAAGTCATTTGATAAAATCCAACAAATATTTCTGATAAGAACTCTCAGCAAACTACAATAAGAATAGATGGGAAGCTCCTCATTCTGGAAGGGGCAGCTACTGAAGACAGTCAGCAAAAATCATTCTTAATGGAGGAAGACTGCCTATTTTCCTCCTCAGGTCAGACACTCTCACAGGTCTGACTGCACATTGTACTGAAGACCCTCTCCAGTGCAATACAGTGAGAAACAGAAATAAAATAGACCTGGCTTGGAAATGGAGAGGGAAAGCTGTCCTTATTCACAGATGACAAGAGAGACTATGTGGAAAATCCTACAGAACCAAAAGCTACTAGAGCTAGAAAAAAAAAAGTGACTTCAGGAAAGATTCGGGAAACAAGGTTAATGTGCAATAATCAACTGTATTTCTGCCTACTTGTGATGAACAATCAGAAACTGAAAATTGTAAGGTACTGTTTACAATAAGAATCAAGAAGTATAAAATATTTAGGGTGAAACTGACAAAAGGTGGACAAAACCTAGCCATTAAAAACTACATAACATCATAGAGAGAAATGAAAGAGAATCTGAATAGATACTGTGTTTATGGGTCAGAAGGCTCAGCTTTACTAAGGTGTAAATTCCCATGGCATTGGTCTGTAGAGTCCATGCAATTCTGGTCAACAGCTCAGCCCAGTTTTTTGTAGAAATTGACAAACCAATCCTAAAACTCCTAGGGAAATGCAAAGGACTTGGAATAAAACAACTTAGCAAAAGAAGAAAAGTTGAAGAACTAAGGTTGCTTGATTTCAAGACTCATCATAAAGTTGCAATAATCAGGAGAGTGGAGATAAGCACCGATGTCAATGGAACTTCAGCAATAGATGCATGCATGTATGGACAGGTGATTTTTGACAAAGGTGCAGAGCCATGCAGTGCAGAAATAATAAGCTTTTCAGCAAATGTTGAGGGAACACTGGGATTCCATGGGCAAAAAGAGAAAACTTCAATCCATACCTCATCCCATATACAAAAATGAAATCAAACTGGATCGTCATAGATTGCCATATCCATAGCTTCTAGAAGAAACTAGAAGAAAATCTTTGTGACCTTGGGTTAGGCAAAGATTTCTTAGACACAACACCAAAAGCATGACCCATAAAAGAAAATAAGTGATATATTGGAGCCCTTCAACATTAAAAACAAAAGCAATTATTAAGAAAATGAAAATAACAAGCTATAAACTGCGAGAAAACACTTGCAACTCATGTATTTAATAAGGGTCTTTTATCCACGATATATAAAGAACTCCCAAAACTTGGTAATAAGAAATCAAACAACCCCATTAAAAGTGGGCAAAATATTTAAATAGTTATGTCACTAAAAAAGATATATGCATGACAAGTGTATGCAAAGATGGTCGTCATTATTTGTCATTCCAGAAATGTAAGTTAAGACCACAGCGACACATCACTAAGCACCTATTAGCAAGACCACAGTAGCAGTTCTGGCCATAAACCCTGGTGAGGAAGTGGATCACCTAAGACCAAAGGGCCCTCACTTAACCGAGTCTTTTCAAACCCCATTCAAGGAATCATTGTCTTAATTTCTTCCCTGCCCAATTGCCTCTTCCCAGGCCCATTGTGCAGCCAGTTTCCCAGTGTTACACAGGCCACCTCCAGCAGTCCTAAGCTTTTCCCTTAAGCAATCTGGGCCAGTCTGGCTTAGAAACCATCTTTCTGGTGCTTTCTGGTACTGAGGCACTAGGAAGGTAGGGTGCGTTCAAGACTGCCCAGCTCTTTCAGGTTTGCTTGTCCGTTGGTTTGAGGTGTCTTGACAGGCGCCATCGTATCCAAATAAACGAAAGAGAGAAAGACAGAATGTACCCCGACTCTCAGCACGCTCCTCTGGACAGATTTTTGAGGGCCGTCTGCGCCTGAGCGCGTTTCTGCCGGTCTGTGTCTGTGTTCAAGTCAGAGGAGGGCTGCCCGGAAGGACCTGCGCTAAACTGATAAGGCTCAGGCTCCTGCATGCCCGGAACTCTGCAGGGGTGGTTCTGTCTCTGGAAGTTCTCCCCGCGGGTCCTGGGAGGAGAGGCCTCGTCCAGAGGGAGGTCCTTTCCCCGAAGCTTCTTCAGAGTCCTGCCCAGGGGGGCCACTCGCACAGGTAAGGCTGTGAGACCGCAGCGCCCAGGTGGGGCGCGCAGGTGCGCGCACCTCGCCGTGACGTCGGTCCGCGCGCCTGATCCCGAGACCCTGACGCACTCAGGCTGCCAGCTCCTCTCTGCTGCCTTTTGCTCTTCCTAAAATAATCCGGAGGAGTTTCAGCCCCTCTGAAATGACCAGCGAAAGCTCTCTGGGGCTAAAATCAAGCAACGCGGAAAAGACGTGCCCTACTCCTACACCCCTTTTTTTGAACCCAGAGTTGGTGCGTATATGGAGTGGTCAGTCTGGAAGCCCCTGGGTGGGCGTGAGTCTGCAGAGCCTGGTATTTTTTGAGTCAGCCCGCTGAGATTCCGGCGGGTGGACCTGCCTCTCTGGAGGTCTCGGAACGCACGTGGCTCCACGAGACGTGATGCCACCGCAATCCCAAGCTGTCTGTGCCGGTGCCTCTGAGCTGCGCCCTGAGGAGCTGCGAGGGGTAGGGTGGGGATGGGGTGGGGACTTACCAAAGATTTTCAAATGGAGCACTCCACTAGTAAAAACTTTCCCACAGGTGACAGGGTATTTTCCCCCCTTTGGCAGTGATCCATGACTGAGTTATTAATTATACCCTATGAAGCACACGGATTTATGTGGACTGTCTCCCTAAGTATTTGCTGACCCTGGCTGCAGGCGCTCTCTGCACCCCTCCTTCCGCCTGGGATCCCGGCTGCTTTGGGCTTTGTGGGTTGTTCTGTGCACTGAGCCCAACACCACCCCGACGCGGAGGCCCTCATACACATCCACTGGGGCTCCGAGCTCTTCATCTGTAAAGTGTGACGATGGTGCTTGCCTTACCTGCCAGACAGTCTCCTGGTAAGGATCCAGTTCCTAAAGGATGGGAACCTTGCTAGGAACAGCAGGCCTCAGCCAAGCCCTTCCCCTCCTGCTCCTCACCTTGCCCACCTGTGAAATAAAGAAAAGGGCTCGCATTAGCAGTAATGTTTGTTATTTTGCCTAAAAAAAAGCTGGACTCATAATTTCAAAATATAAACCTTGGCTAATTCTGGAATATGGGTACTTAGGATTTTATGTTATTCTCTGTATCTTTCAAAGTCTGCTGTTCCCAAAAAAGAAAAGATGAGGAAATTAAAAAAATAAAAAAGACTCATGAAATTTGGTCTCTTCCAGCTGGAATTCCTCTGGTTCTGTATACAGGAAAATGCTCAGTACACCCAAGTCCTACAGGAAAGAGGGGCATTACTCTTATTTGTCTTGGTTCTGTCCTTGCATCGCTGTACCCCAACCCATCCCAGCTGTCCAGGGCAGCTGCGAGCTCACCAGGCAGCTGACTTGTTGGAAGCATAGGAGTTTTCTAGCTGGAGGCAGGTGAGTACAGGCTGATGTCATTTATACTGTTCTGATTTTATTTCATCGAACCCACCCCCCAACAGCTCCCACCTGTACTAAGCAGAAACATACACCTATGTGAAGAGACCCCTATCCTGTAGCCATTAGAAGTTCGCTTTGTGTAATAAAATCCCAAACATTCTTGGGATTAATGAAACCACGTTGCTGGAGAAAGCTGACATTGATGTCCCCAGTCCTCTAACTTAAAAACAGACAAACTAAATTAAGTAACAACAACAAAAACTTGTTCCCCACACAGTGTGCTGTGCTCTTTGCACCACTTTTCAGCGTGAAACAATTTCATGCTTGAGTTACAATTTATGAAAATAGGCACACAAGAGGGAAAATGTGAACAGACCCTCAGCTGTATTATTAGTCATTGCCACAGCTGAATGCGTTCCAGCACAAAGGTGTTATTCTGCCGGAGCATCTTGCTTTTGAACAGAATGTAACTCACTAACGGGTTATGCCTCATGTAGCTTTCTGTAATCATTACATTGCCATTCTCTGTAATGTGTCCTGTTTTTCATTAGGAGTATGTATCAGATGGGCAGGCACTCAAGCATGCATACACACTCACACATCTTTTAAGTCCCTTTTTGTTTGTGGCTGAAAATAAAGGCCATGAGCCATCAGTCATTTTTGGGAAAGCCCGCTGTGTTGATAAAGGTAATATCTGGAAATCAGAGTGGTGGCCGGATGTGGGTGTAGATTCTGAAAACCGGTGAACTGGGGCAGCAAACTGAGTGAAAGGACTGAGTGGAGGGTCCGGCTGGGCTCATCCTGGTCTCCTGTGCAGATCAGCAGTGTTGGACTGGAATATTCCGGGCAGAGGCACCTGGCTCACGTGTCGGGCGCTCTCAGGTCCCCTGGGTGAAGGCAAGTTCTCAGCAACAGTCCTCTGTGGAGGTTTCTGGCCGGGGTTCAGCGGTGCAGCCACAAGTGAATTAACTGAATAAAGGAGCCAAGGTACAAATCAAGGCCTTGCAGTGTTAACTTCCAAAAAAAACCCCAAAACAACAACAAAACTAGCAGGCAGGGAAAGAATCAGGAGAAAGAAACAGGGAGGGGACGTGAAAAGCTTGGAGAAGATACTGGTCTTCACAAACAAGGAGTAATCAATCACTTGGATGGTCTGCGTGAGACAGGCAGGAGGCAGGCACCCCAGAGTGGAAGCCTCACCGCAATTCTCAGCTTGCAGGAGAAGACCTAGGCCTCTGGCCCCAGGATTAGGATAATGGGGTTCTCCCCAGACAGGACCCAGGGCCCACTGGCCAGGAGGGCCTTAATTGGGAACCAAATGTGCTCTTATGACCTCTATGACGTGTTAACGAATGTTTTGATTGTGTTCCTTCCTCATTAGGACAAATGTGGTCCTCTTTGCCCTGGGGCTCTGATCTCACCTCCCACTGGGAAGAGCCCAAGACAGTGGACCTGTCCAGTCCGGTGGCAGAAATGCCTGCCTGGAGAGATCGCTCTGCCTTGGCCTCGGGGCTTGGAGGAGCCCAGGGCGCATCCCCAGGGACCCAGGCCCTGTGAAAACACAAAGGTGCTTGTGGTAACTGAGCTTGAGTGTCCTGTTAGGTGCTAAGCCACACAGGCGTGTGAAGCTTCCCCGATGCTGTGCCCTGCAGAGGTGACCAGGCTGGAGAAAATTCAGGAAGACAGAGCACTCAAAGCATCTGGAATCTTTAGTGATCACAAAGCCCAACACTGCTCTCACCCTGCTTACTGGTGGCACACCAGCAAGAGTGTCTGGGACCTCATGGCCAGGTGCTACCCCCAGCTGGCACTGAACCCTGAGGCCCATCTACCATAAAACCCCCTCCCCCAGCCCTCCGCTGCCCTGCTCGCAATGTCAGGACTCTGTCAGTGCAACGGAGACGACACAGGAGAAAAATGGACCCTGCGGTTTACTCAGAGACCACTGGGGGGGGGGGCCTGGTGGCAGCTGCAGGGGAGACATAGGCCAGTGGGACAGCTCTGGACTCTAGAGGCACAGACTGAGAGAGGCCCACAATGCCCGGAGGGGACACTCCCAGAGACGGAAACCTAGGTGCTGAATGAGCCCTGGCAGGTGGGAAATGGGACCTCAGAGAGACAAGCGTTCTCCAGAACAGAAATTCAGACCTGGAAATGTGGCCCCTCTTACAGCCAACAGACCCAGCATCTTACCAAGTGTGCATTCTCTCACCGAGCCCTTGTACCCATCTATGAGATCTATATCATCATGAGGCCCTCCCCCATTTTTATTTATACTGTCTTCATCATTTTAAGTGTACAGTTCAGTAGAGTTGAGTACACAAATGTTGTTATGTAACACGTTCTCAGAACTCTTTTTTCATCTTGCAAAACTGAAACTCTGTCCCCATTAAACATTAACTACCCATTCTCATCTCCCCCCAGACCCTGGCACCACCATTCTGCTTTCTGTTTCAATGAATTTGGCTATTCTGGGGACCTCCTATAAGTGGAATTATACAATATTTGTCCTTTTGTGTCTGGTTTATTTCACTGAGCATCATGTCCTCAGGGTTCATCCATGCTGTAGCAGGTGTCAGACTGTCCTTCCCTTGTTGAAGGCTGAATAATATTCCACTGTATGGATATGTCACACTTCGTTACCCAGTTATCTGTTGAAGGACACCTGGGTTGCGTCCACCGTTTGGCTGCTGTGAGTAAAACTGCTGTGCATGAAATGGTGTGCATGTATCTCCCTGAGAGCCAGTTTTCAGTTCTTTTGGCTGTGTACTTAGAAGAGGGATTGCTGGGACGTATGGTAGTTCTGTGTTTAGGTTTTTTAGGAACTGCCATACTGTTTTCCATACTGGCCGTACCAGTTTACAATCCCACCAACACTGCACGAGGGCTCCCTTTCCTCCACATCCTCGCCAACACTTGTTACTGCCTGTTTTTTTCTCATGGTAGCCCTCTGGAGGGAGTGAGGTGCTATCTCACTGTAGTTTTGATGTGCATTTCCATAATCCTTAGTGATATTGACCATCTTTTAATATGCCCGTTGGCCATATCCTATTTGGAGAAATGTCTATTTGAGTCCTTTGCCCATTTTTTAAATCAGATTTTTTAAATTGCTGTTGAGTTGTAGGATGTTTTTTTAAATATTCCAACTCTCTCCACCCCTTTTTTTTCCAGTTGAAGAAAACAAAAGGGCCGAAGAGGTGGGTGACTTGCTTGCTGGAGCCTCTGGCCAGGGGCAGGGAAGGAGGCAGGTAGAGCGAGCCCTGGGCAGGCCTTCCAGCTGCAGTCTCGGAGCAGACACTGCCCATTGAGTGCACAGCCTGGGTGCACAGCCTTGTGGGCCAAAGAGTGGTTTGAAAACCAGTGGCAAACCCTGGCCGCAGGGAACTCAGAAGCGTGTACTGTCCCTGTTAATGGCAGCCCCACTTTCTTGTTATTCCTGCTCCTAGGACGGGAAGAGAGAAGAGGCTGTTTGTGGAAAAATAAATGTAAACGGATCAATGCCGAGCGGCCATTTGCGCATCTGTTCTTAACGGGTTTCAGCTGAAACGACTGGAAATCTACATAGATCTGTTTATGTGGAGCCAGTTAAATATAAGTTTACAACTTGGAGGGTAACTGTGGGTCGGTACAGGAAGCGCCCTCCACATTCGTGTCCAGGCGTGCCCCTTGCTTCACCACAGAGGCTGCTGAGGGGGTCGGACTTTCAGCAAGTTAAAAAGATCACCATTATTTGAGAACAGTTACAAACTCAAGGTGCACCCCCAGCCTTTCAGCAGCACAGAATTCCTGCCTGGCCTGCTATCTGGGCCCAGTTCTTTGTTATCAGGGAGGAGACCACAAGGGGAATCACTTGTTACTGAGTAATTCTGTCTTTACTCCCCCAACAAATCAGTTCAGAGGAAGACAGCATGCAGGCTGCTGCCTCACGGTGCCCCATTGCCTTCTCTATGCTCTTGGGAGAGGCCTGAGGACAGCAGTGTCTCCTGAGGACATGCAGGTAGCCGGTGGGAGCAACTGCAAGGGGCCTGTTTCTGGAGGCTGGTGCCCTTCCGTGAGCCTTTTTCTATAGCACTCGCGACCATCCTACGAGGTCACACTGTCATCCCATTATAGAGATGGGAAGACTGAGGCTCTAGAGTGAATTGCCCAGGGCCACACCGACAGTACGGAACGAGGTGCCCTAAAGGAACAAAGCTTTTTCCTCCAGTCTGAACATCTTGTGGGGCAAGGTGACAGCTCAGACACCCACAGCACCAGCAGAAACGAGATGAATGGGGGGGCAGAGTGCACATCTAATAAGTGGCTTCAGCAGATTGATGCTGGGGTTGGGGTGCAGACATTGTGGGCCCAGGTCTTTTGTTTTTTGTAAAGAGAGCCAGAAATCACTAGATTTTTACATGTTGGTCCAGGTATTAAAAATAAATGAAATAAAACAAACAAACGCACTATGGGCGGGGCCGTTGGTGATGCTGGAGGAGGGAGGAAGGGGCTGCACTGGCTCGGCTCCCTCTGCAAGTCGGGGCTTGGGGTCTGACTATCAGGATCCTTGTCTCCCAGCAGCGCAGAGGCCTCTGCCACAGCAAGCAGCCCCACGGCTCAACACCCTAGTCCCTGCCTCCCTTCTAAAGCCTCTTCTTGCAACTTCCCAGGACTCCTGACCTGGCCTCCAGCACAGTGTGAATGTGCATTCATCTATAAACATTTATATAATAATATATCTCTGCAAAGTGACATCAGTCTGTAAAACACACCGCAGGACACAAGAATAGCAGTCCCATGGCCTCAGAAACAATTATCCCAAATTGACATCTGACAACATTGCCCCCCACCCGCCTCGGGCTATGATTGGTAAGGTTTTCATTTTTGTGGACCCCACACTGTGAAAATGTTCCTATGTTTCTTCATTGAAAATAGTTGTTTTTTAATAAGCAGCCCGGTGGAAAACAATTGTGAATGGCAGCTTCATTACGTGGGGATTCTCAGAACAAAGAGAATATTGCTCACACTCTATGACCTGTTCTATGATACTGAATTTTAATTAAAAAATATTAGCATATTAAATTGATGACAAGGAGGGTGTGACACTGGGGCTTTAAGAGAAATCAGGAAGGCAGAACACGGTAGGTGACCTCATCAGTGTTACTTCATATTTGTCTTTTCTCTGTCTCTTTTTAAATTTGAAGTGTTCCGTTTTGAACGAGGAAGGACATACTCCAAGCTGTACAGGCCTGCAATGGGAGGCTGGTAAAGCTGGAGGAGGGCACAGGAGGGCCTTGTTGGCCCTCTGGGGACCTCAGGTAACATCCTTGCAAAGAATCAGCCATTGTCTCAAAGGCCCCTCAAAGTGGCTACTGTCCCAGGCCACCTAGGAAGCATCAGGTTTTCTGAGCAAAAAACTTGGGGCCATGTCCAGGTGATCGGTCCAAGGTCATCTTTGTAGGCCTGAAACTGGGAACAAATGATTTTGAATGATATAGATGAAAGGGCGTACAGGCCAGCACTGGATGTCCAACTCAGCCCATTTCACTAATTATGAGATTTTTTCTCCTGAGGTGATGCAATAAATGAACAGAAACATCCAGTGTGCCAGTGCATTGGGTTGAAGAAAAGCTTCGTCTGAAGTGAGCAAAAGCAGTAGGCCTCCAGTGTGGACAGGCCTTTAGGACGTGGCCATGCCCTAAGGCTCAAGAAAGAGCCGCTGTCTGCTCCACCACAGAGCCTAAGTTCTGGCCACAGGCCCATGTGCAGGAAGGAAGTGGCTGCCCCGTGTCCTGCCAGCCTGACCTGCACCTGGGCCAAGGAGTGGACCACAGGCTGCTGGGTGATGCCCGGCTCTTGGGGCTAGTGAGACCAGCCTCACAGGGTGTGATCTGCCCCTTGCTGAGAGCACAAATGAGCAGGATTGGGCCACAGAGTGAATCAGGTGTGGCAGCAGGGCTGTGCCTCCCCGAGGAAGAGACCAGAATGCA